CTAACACTGAATAGTAAAACGTTGCACATTTCGAGATATTCTGACCGGAGAAAAATTTCTCTTATTTAGTTGTTTCAACTAGATCTGTTATTGAGTCATTAGAATACGTGAGCGGATCTTTAGTTAAAATATTACTTATCCAATACAAGTTCGAGAGAAATTTCTTCAATTTAGCTCTACCTTTGTGAAGCTCAATGATGACTAGGCGGAGCATGGGACCGACACGCCCAATACACGGGACTGACACGCCCACTGTTCACACTAAGCCGATGAGATCGACATGAGATCGTCCTCTATCGCAGCGATAAATTGTTTGTAGGCAGTTTCAAGGTCATCGTTGATGATGACTAGGTCAAAAAGATCGGGATTTTGTTCGGCTAAAATTCAAAAACTAATTATCAACGAAAAAAAAAGAGAAAGAAACAACTTACAAGCTTTCAGGTCTTCTCTAGCATGTTTGAGCCGTTTTTCTATATCTTCCTCCTTCTCAGTACCGCGATCACGGAGACGTTTTTCCTAAATGGAAATAGAAGTTGAAAAATTACTACTGCATTTACCCTCAGCTTCGTCTAGCAAAACAGATAAATGAGCCCTTTAAAGGGAAAAAAATGCGCGATTACGCCGACATTTTTCCTTTATAAGATGTACAATGTCATGGCTAGAGAATGACATCCATAAACGTAACCATAGTCAAAAAATGGCTCAAAGAAAGCATTCATTCCAAGGGAAAGCTCCAAAGCCTCGCAAAAAATAAGGTCGCTCAATATGAGCTCTCAAATGAAACAAAAGAAATAAACATCAGTTCAAAAATGAGCTAAAAATAGCACATTATATCAGTAACCGCTCACCAAGATTTCCAAACTCGGTGGACGGATGAGTATGAAGCGAGCGTTGAGATTCGACTTTTTGATACTGAGTACGCCTTGCAGCTCAATGTCCAGCACACAAATTTTTCCCGTACATTCCACGTCTTTTACCGCTTTTTTACTGAAAATATTGAAATAGGGCACTTTTTATTTGATGGACGTAAATCACATCAAAGTATCCACAATTTGGCTACATAAAAAGGAGATAAAAATAAGAAAGCTGAGGTAAATCCGCAAAAAATTCCATGTCATTAGGATTCCAAAGACAAAAACCAAAGACTAGATTTGAACTACCTACCTTGTTCCGTAAGTATTACCACCAAATGAAGCATGTTCCAGGAACTCTCCATTCTCAATCATGCGCTGCATTTCATCCGCATTTACAAACCAGTAATGTACACCATGTTCTTCACCTTGGCGAGGTTTGCGTGTTGTGTCTAA